AGGAAATCTATTGTTCTCACCTGAGACCAGCCCCCAGGACCAGCCATTGGTCTGCATTGTCTTCCATAGGGTATATCCCATCGTAAACATGGCCTCAGCCCGTGTGTTTTCTGCCATAATCCAAAATGGCAGTCCATCCCTAAACTCTCTGAGTTTAGGCCACAATCCATGGACCTCTGCACATCTGGACCAGGTTGTATAACCCCTCTATAAACTATCAATCACCTCTGCTTCCTTAGTTCTATAAATGTGTGTGTAATTGTGTATTGTTTGAATGATATATATATTCCCCAGTAAAAAGACATTATATTTTACTGAATACAGTCTCTGTGTCTGTTCTGCTGTTTACAGCAAAGGTGGGACTTCTGTATACATTGGTGTGAACCCTAATTTGCCTATTGCCAAATTAATAACTTCCCCTAGACTAATTAATAATTCAAGGCAATTTGGCTAACACGGGGGTGAAGCTGCGCTCCAGCTGAAGGAGGGGGTGTGCAGGCTCACAACTCCCACAGGGACCCGGCTGAAGGGACACCGGCCATGGAGCTCTTGAGAGGTTGCCTCTTCGACGGCGTACTGCCGGAGAATTGAGGCACTTCTCCGCTCTGACGGTTCTTCGTGCTGAGAGACCGAATGGACTAAGTGACGCTGACCAGGGCAAGCGCAGGAGATCGAGCGTTAGAAATTGAGTGTAAACGAGGTCCGTGGACCGATTATAATTGTGAGTAATTTAAGCATTGATTAAAAAGAAAAGAAGCTCCCCACCCCCACACCACGGAACAGAATAGAAGGCGAGCGGGGGAGGGACGCCTCCCAAACGCATAGACTTTAGAGGAATTGAGGGGGGGAGCGGAAGTATAAACGGTTAAAACTGCTAAGGAGTACTTACCAAGGCGAGTGCGAGCGTTTAAGCACATATTCAGACTTTCAAAAAGTTTGTGAAAGTAAACAAAGCGAAAAAGATGGCGGGGAAGAGAAAGAGAAGCATCTGAAATTGAAAGTAACTGAGAGCCCAAAACCGGGTTTTTAGTCAGTAGTGGGTAGTAGGCTGCATTTACCTGTAACAATGGTTCATCAAGTGGTCTTCTGTGCAGGCACATATTGTAACTGTGTGTGCACGGGCCAGCCATGGAAAAGATTTCCAATGCGCTCTAGTAGACTAGGAGCGCCCCTCCCCCCTCTGGCACTTTCCCACCAGGTCATATGAACATTTTGGTGGGAAAGGCCATCAAGAGCAATAGAGATGATAAATGGAATCAAGCATATATTTGCTAAGGGATTGTAGTAGAGGCTGTAATATCAGCTAGTAATTAGTTTGCATATCAGAGACTTTGTCCCATGGGGCAGCTGTTTTGAGGTTTATAAGATTATGCATGGGATAGAGCAGGTAGAAAAAGAGGTACTTTTCTCCCTTTCTCACAATACAAGAACTCGTGGGCACTCAATATTGCTGAGCGGTAGGGTTAGAGCGGATAAAAGGAAGTACTTTTTCACCCAAAGATTGATTAACACTTGGAATTCACTGCCACAGGAAGTGGTGGTGGCTACAAGCATGGACGGCTTCAAAAGGGAATTAGATAGGCATATGGAGCAGAGGTCCATCAGTGGCTATTAGCCACAAGGTATAGATAGGGATTGTGGGGCAAGTGATGCTCTGTCTTCTTGGTCCTTGGGGGGGTCAACAGTGGGAGGGCTTCTAATGTCCTGGCCCCACTGGTGGACCTCCTGATGGCACCTGGTATTTTTGGCCACTGTGTGACAGAGTGTTGGACTGGATGGGCCTTTGGGATTGGGATGGGCTCTTATGTTCTTATGAGCAGAAAAACATAATGGCCTTTAAAAGGATTGGCATGGAGTTTATCTTACTCTCTAACAGGGACGCAAAGCGCCTTATAACATTTTATACTTTTTCATTTCATCCATACTAAAATCCTGTGAGGCAGATCAGGTAGAGAGAATGTGATGGCCCAAGGTCACAAGCAAGTTTTCAGACAAAATGGCATTTGAACCTGGGTCTCCCAGATCCCAGACCAACACTCCAACCACTATACCATACTGGCTTTCGCTATGAATGGTATCACATAAGAGTGACTCATGCAGGTTTATCATTGTTATTGAAAACAGTGGAAGCTAAAGATTCCACGAAATCATTGATGATTCCACGAAATCATTGATGATTCCAAAGGCTACCATGGAACCAAGAGGTGCAATGCTTAGATTTTCCCCCAAACGCATACTTGCTGATCAGTCCTGAGTTCCTCATGGAGATGGCAACAGTAAGCCTTGCCTGTGCTTGAAACAAGACCTGTGATGAAAAGCCCCTTAGAGCAGGTGTCTCCGTGGGCTGAATCCAGCCCATCCAGGGTTTTTATCCAGCCCACGAGCATGTGAGGGAGAGAGCGTGAGGTTTGAGGGACAGAACGGGGAGGGGGAGTGATCAGGGGAGGGGGAGTGATCAGGCAAGCCACTTAAATTGTGGCTTCAGTACGTGGTGGAACAACCTCCTCTGTAGCAGTTTACTTCAGTATCAGCCTTCCTGGTAAGTAGGGGGCCACCACAACTACAATCATGCCAGCCTCCCCTCCCTCCCCTGGCACACGGCGAGGCAGGTTCGAGGTAAAAACTGAATTGCTCCGATTAAGCTGGGTAATTTTCTGCCTGTGCCCTGAAGACTTTGCATTCATTTTCTTTTCCTGGAAGGTCTATATATCAAAATTGATTGTCTTTGAGGCGTGTTTGTATTTTGAGTAAAAAATATATCATTAATTGGGTGACCTTTATAAAGTTTATATCTCTGGTATCTGGCATGACATTTTATGACACGCATGACCAGGCCCAACAAAGTGACATTTATGTCAGATCCGGCCCTCGTAACAAATGAGTTCGACACCCCTGCCCTAGGTTAAGTTTCAGTGCTAAGAGACTGCAGCAAGGTAGTGGACTGAGCCTGCTGTGTCACTGTGTCAGCCTTTAGAACTAGGCATTAGCAAGAGGGCTTGGAGCTGAGATCAACAGAGAACTGGTTCTGACCCTGGAATCAAGGAAATCCCAATAGGGTGAATGGTAAAATAAAGCACAGCAAGCTTTAAGCATAAATAGTCTGTTATATCTTCCTACACAACTAACAAGAATGGGAAAGTCCTCCCACCTCAACCACTCTCCACTACTATAGAGGCTGAAGAGGTCCAAAGAACCCCAACTAAAGGGCACAATATCCTTCTGACACATAAGACCTATCCCAAAGAGCCATGGAGGATTGCAAGGCTCCATTAACCCATGCCAACAAGGATTTCGCCTTGAAACTAAGGGCAGCCAGGAAAAGGTTCCTTCAGGCTCCCATCAGGCCACAACTTCAGGCTTCTGTCCAGATCCGAAAGAGAGAGGAGGAAGGTTTCCTTCAGTCAGGCAGTGTCTGCCACGCCACATTTCCAGGCTTCTGGTCAGATTTAAGAGAAGCCCTGGGGGGGGGGGGGGAGAGATTCGTTCAGTCAGGAAGGCAGCAGCCAAAGCCTTAGAAATTTTGAATCAGAGGCTCTGTCAACTAACATCTCCAGGTTTCCCCTTCAGAGCAGACAAAGCCAAGGAGAGTGAATGTGCCTTTATTCAGGCTGGCATGCAGCCTAAGTCTTTGAAAAAACCCAGTAAGTCCGAGGCTGTGTCTCACTATGGAGGGGGAATATGCTTTTATTCAAGCTGGTGCATGGCCAAAGCCTTTGAAAAGAGCTCTTTTAAGTCTGGTTCTATCCAACCATGCCTTCAGGGAACTTGGCGACAGCAAGATCAGGTAGCTCTGTTGTGTGAACCCCTAGGCAGATAAGGCACAGAAAATGGCCATTTAACAGCACCATTCTAAAGCCACAGTTGGCCCAATCCTGAGGAGGACCCTTTTGAGCCATAATGACACAATGGAAACCCAGAAATTTCTTCTTTAAATGTAGTTTATTATTCAATAGAATTATTGATGAGAAAAAATAAAACTTTTGAGAGAAACAAGTCTCCTCAGCCTCAAGAATGAGGTGAGGGACAAAGAGGGAAAAGCTATGGAGATCCCCTCTGCGGCAGCAAAGAGGACTGAGGGAGTAGCATTTGAGAGATAAACACAGGATGGAATCAGTGGGATAGTAAAACACTACCCCGAGTTACAGACAAATGAAAATCAAGCTTGCAAATAAATT